TCTCTCTCTCTCTCTCTCTCTCTCTCTCTCTCTCTCTCTCTCTCTCTCTCTTGCCCTTGACAACGCATGGTTGAATCGAAATATTTTCACCTAAGGTTACAGTTGGTAATAGTAGTTGTAGGTTTGGGTTTTTTAAAGAGGGATAAAAAAAACACCTCAAATAAATGTCGAGTCCCCTTAATTCCCAGTGGAGCATAGGCCATCAACAATATTTCTCCAGGAAGCCTGTCCTGTACATCCTCTCCTAGCCGTTTCAATGATGTGCCCGCCTTTTCCACTTCCACTTGTACCGCTCGCCTCCATGTCATCTTTGGCCTCTGGTCAACAGGAGATTTCTCAGCTTCGTGGCTTCCTTTCGGCTTTCACCACCCTGCGTCATTCTACACTCCATGCTCTCTCCTCTCTTCGGTGATGAAGGTCCTCCATCTTTCAGAACTGGCGGTCGTGTTGGGGTTTTTTGTGTTGTTTAAGCTGTGTGTTTTTTTGTTTTTTTTTGTGTGTGTTTATTTACGGGAAAGGGCTGCTAATCCTTGGCCTAACCGACCTTAGTCGCCTTCAACGACATGCGCGGTACAGATACAGTGGTCCTATTCTTTGCTCCACTGTCTCTTGGACAAGGCCTCTGGAACTACACAGGTAACCTGAATATTTAAAGAAGCAATAACACTTGATGTATCATTCTTTTTTTTTTTAATCAAGAATTCACTTTTACAGTTGTCTTCTTTTTCCAGAGGGCACCCTTATCACAACTTGATGATGCGTTTTCTCCAGATAAGCCCATAATTGGACCGTGACAACTAGGCCTATCACGTGCCCCCGAGTGACCCTATCATGTTTGTGAGGCAGCGTGGTGGGGATCAGGCTCTTGTCAGTTTTTTTAGCACATAGAGTTATTGGTATCATCTTAAAGCTTGTTCATTTGTCCTTATTTGGATGCAAAAAAAAATATATTTATCTTGAATACAAGTCGAGATATGTGCGAAAGAAGGAGATGGGGTTCACCTATTTTCAGAGGTAAAATTGGTGAGAAAATGGCCTCCAAAGATTAGTTATATCCTTAGCTTAAGAGTCCGTGGTAACTAAAAATTTACATTTTTGTTACTTTAATCAACATTTTTCAGAAAAATCCGGACATAAATGAGTTTTTTAATGAGTAAGAAAAGTGTTGAGCCCAAAAAAAATTGAAAAAAATTCACAAACCTGCGGAAAAATGCCAATTTCTTCACTTTGATTATTTTGACGAGAGCCTGATTGCACCACGTTGCCTCACATTTAGTATCATTGTGCTCCCAAGCTCCTCTTCGTTCAAATCCCTAAATTATCAAGAATAAAAATTTCTATATTTTTAGCAGTTGAGCAACCATGTGCAGAACAG